CCAGCCCCCAGAAAAGACAGGGGACCACTCTCCCTTCCTTTTGGCTTCTAGGGTGGAGCACAGAGTCTTCTGGGGAGACAAGTCAGTCCTATCTCCATTGAAAGGAAATACACGGTGTTTGCGGTGCAACGTGGGGCAGCCTCTCCCATCACCAGGTCTTAGGTCCCTCCTCTGGGGAGAACAGTAGGCGTGGCTCCAGCTTGCCGTCCGCTCTGTGATTGGCTGTGTTTATGAAACTGTTCCTCCCAAAAGCAACAGCGCTTGCCGTCTGCTCTGTGATTGGCTGCATCTACGAAACCTCTCTCCCTGAAAGCAGCAGCGCTTGCTGTCCATTCTGTGATTGGCTGCTTCTACAAAACCCCTCCTCCAGAAAGCAGCAGTGCTCTCTGGGTCCCCAGGGCACGCAGGGTTCCAGCTGGCAGGACTCGTGGTGCTGGCGCTTCCCCCGCCCCCCCAGCTCACTGCCAGGCAGAGTGACCCAGCTGGCTCCGTGCCTCCATTGTCAGAATCCTGCAAGACGCTCGGCTGAAAGCGTGGCTCGCTCATGCCTCTGCACCTTCACACACCCGGGTTCCTCTACAGGCAATGCCCTCCCCCGTCCTACCCAGGGGGTAAACTCCTTACTCGCTGTCAAGACCCTGCTCAAATGTCACCTCCTCCAGGAAGCAGGCCCTGCCTGAGCTCCCTGGCTGGGACAGAAGTCCCCTTCTGAACACCTGGGGTCCGGCTGAGCCATTGTGTAACTGTGCTTCCCTGAGGGAAGCCGGGACTCCAGTGATAGCCATGACCCTCGCCCTGGGGAACGCAAGGAACCAGCGGGGGAAACTCAGAGGGCAAAGGTCGCATGGCGCAGGGCAAAGTGGACCCCTCAGACAGCCGAAGCCCGTTGGTGAAGGACCCGAGTTCTGCTCAGAGCGGCCCTCTGCAGGGTAGACTGCCCGCATCTTACAAAGGGGTGCCTTCACTGGGCGGCTCCTGGCAGAACTGGAGCAGGCAAATGTATCTTTGGAAAAAGATTTGAGGGCAGTACTGGATCCGAAAGAGGCCACGGGGTGCTGCTTTCAGACTCCGCCACAGCTGGGCTTGAATCCTAGCCACGCTGCTCTTTTCCCCAAGTCGCTGAGCGGCCCTGCTGGATACAGCTTGGACCTGGGGCCACCATCGTGCCAGACCACACGTGCCTGGACATGAAGAAAGTCAGGTGGAGACAAGCAGGTCCTTCGGACACTGTGGCCCCTGGATCCAGCCACACCTGAAGCCAAGTACCCGTCATCTTGTCAGTTACCGTTAGCTAACCAATGTTCTTTTTGAATAATCCATCTTGACTGGTTTCTGTCATCTGCAGCTAAAACAGTTCTGGCTAAAACAAGCTCTCGCGGCCAGAAAGTGGCAGCACTGGGACAAAAGCCCAGGGTCCAACCCACTCTATGAAACTGGCATCATCTCCTGCTCTAAACTGGGCCAATTCCCGATTCTCCCAGCAGCCAACCTTTGTGCGGGGCTCGGCAGCCTAGAACCGGCTCTCGTTAGCATCATCACTTCAAAAAAACCAGAAAAACAAACAAAAAACAACCCAAGAAATACAGATGGACTTCATGCACCGTAGAACTCACCCTTTAAAAGTATACAGTTCAGTGGGTTTTAGTCTACTTATGAAGTTGTGCAACCATCCCCACTGTCTAATTCCAGAACATGTTTATCACCGCAGAGATACCAGTACTCATCAGCCTCTCCCAGCCCCGCCCCCCGCCCACCCCGCCCCCTCCAGCTCCTGGCAACCACTAATCGGCGCTCTCTCTGTCTCTGTGGGTTTGCCTCTACCCATCACACATCAGCACTTTTAACTCCATAGGAAACTTGCAAAGTAGCCACTAGACAGTAGGGCGCTGGACAGCAGAGTGGCTGAGACTGGGGGCTCCGGTGTCGCCTGCCAGCTTCAAATCCAGGTGCTGCTGCTTTCTAGCTGTGTGACCTAGGGCAAACCACTTAGCTTCTCTGAGCCTAGATTTCGTCCTCTGTGTAATTTGATAAGTTTGATCTGAGGATTAAATGAGTCTCTGCATCTAAATGCTGAGCAGTCCGAGCTCCAGGAAGGCTAGCTCTTTCTAGTACCATCACCCCTCATCACTAATGAGGACAATCAGGCACAGAGGGGTTAAGGGGCGTGCCCAAGGCCACACAGCCCAGGTGGCCGGGCCCCAAGTCTCCTGACTTTTTCCATTACACCACACTGGATTAGCTGTTCCTCCACGAAAGCTTGGCCTTCCCCAGACTCTCTAAGCCAAGTTCCTTCTGCAAAAACCAAGGCTACTCGCCAGACAGGAGGGAGGGGAGGCTGGGATCATGAAATCATCTAGCTCTAGGGTGCCGCAGCCCCACACGGGCCGGCCTCCGCCTGGTCCTCGGAACAGCTGACTCTGGGTCCTGCCCTAACTCCTTCCAGCATCGCCCTCGGGGCTGCGGGGGTGGAAGGCAGGCCATTTCCAGGACAGCGGGACCCTCTGGAATTCCATGACTTTCCCACACCAGCTGCCCATCTGGGCCTCTTTAAGGCGGCTGAAGCTCTGTCTTTGGAAGACTGTGTTTCAGGTGGGCAGTCCGGGGCAGTTATTTATGTTCCAGCAACCCCGCCATCATTACCAAGTATGCTGAGTGGCCCAGAAAACCTCACTCCTAAGTTCTGGTCGAAATGAGAAAGTTGAGTCAGAACAGGAGAGTGGAGGGAGCACGGGCTTTGGGCCCCGGAGCCCCGTAATCCTACCTCAGCAAACGCTCCCAAACAGTGTCACCCCGGGCAAGTCCCATCTGAGCAGAGGGACTGCAGATGGCAGCTGACACGCTTACAGAGAAAGGTACGATTCTGTCACACTAGATGCACGAGGCAAGTGCTTTCGTCCTAAACATGCAGAGGGGGAAGCAGAGGCTCTGAAACATGCAGAGGCGACGCCACACTGAAACCTGGAAGCAAGAAGCTGAGATTTGAACCCAGGCCTGCGGGACCCCAGCAGCCAAGGTCTGAGGCCCTGGGTTATCCCGGAATAGGAAGCTGATGACACAGTCAGGTTCCTCGAGCTCTGCCGTTTCCCTGCGAGAGGCTTCCGGGGCCTCCTCCCCACGCCTCTCCTCGAACCTACCCCCTGGCTCCTGCTGTACCAATGGCCCCACTGATCCGGCCACAGCTGACAGGCTCAGGGTGGACCCTGGCGCAGGACAATCTGCTTCTCAGTCCCGGACACTGGAATCTGCACCGGAAACTCCAGTGTGTTGACAACAGGGAAGGACACTCCCTCTTGGGGACAGAAGGTGCCATCTGGGGGATGTGGAGAGGCCAACAGGCAAGTGGGGGCAGCTGGTCTGCAGAGGCGGCTGGGAAAGGAAGCAGTTTCAACGGCAGATCGTGTGGCCACAGTGACCCTGGCCTGGGAGCTGCCGGGCCTCCTTGAATTGGACCATCTGACTTTGTTACACATCACTAGTTCATTACGCCACGAAAACATAGGTACCTGGTGTCTCCATTCCTTCACGTTACGGAGTGACTCTTGGCAGTTAGGTAGGCGTTGGCGTAGGATTGTTTTAGTGGTACTAACTGCTTAGAGGAATGCATCCTTATCTCCCTGCGCCCCTTGGAAATAGTAGAACCAGGCCCTGAAAACCCCGTTGGACGTTTTCAGGAGCAGATGAGGTCCCGTGGCTGGTATCACCCAACCCTCCGAGAGCACAGGTAAGGCAAGGAGGCAGGCTGGCGTGTGGAGGACGGGCTGTCTTCTGCCAGCCCAGAAGCACCTCCTTTACCTGGGATCCCAGCCTCCACCCCCCACCCCCGTGGGGGCAGAGCAGGGACCCAGATAAGCCCACCAGCCACTGCATTCCTCAGTTATCTTGAGGCTGAGATGAGCCTATGAAACACACCCCGTGCCTGCCAGAGCATCTGGGAGGTGACCTTTCACTCTTTCCGGCTGAGTGTGTCTGCCTAGAGCATTCTGCGACCACGTGGGATCTGAGAACAAAGCCAATACGATGGAAGCAGAGATACAGAACGAGAGGAAGGAACTGGGTGAAAGGACGCAGTGAAACATGCTGGATCAAGCTGTGCCTGAAGCCCACAGGGTTTCTTTTCCAGGGACATTCAGTTAACACCAGCCAAAAAAAATCCCCATTCACTTAAGCCAGTTTGGGCTGGGTTTCTGTCACTTGCACCCGAAGCACCCTAACTGGCACACAGAGGAGAGGAAGAGGGTCAGCTCAGGGTGAGCCCCCCACTACACAGCAGGGAGGACTCGATGGTTCAGGAAGCCGGGCAAGTTCCTATCTCCTCCTGAGGCCTGTGTTTTCAGAGAACTTTATCACATCGCATTAGGCACTGTGACTTCTCATGCAGACACATTTGCTTTGAGTTGCTGGCCTTTGGTGACATCAGGATACAGCTACTGCCCCACATTACAGTTCTCAGACCCCCGTGCAGGTGGGATTACACCAAGATGGCCACATACGCTGGGCGCCCTATGAGACTGGTGGCACTCCAGGTTGCTAGTTCATTCATTTGTTCCCCAAACACGACTGGACACATCTGTGTCCTTGAAGGAAACACAAGTCCAAGGTCCACACTCCAAAGCCACACCGACCTCCAGACCGGGCCCCACTCTGGAGCAGTCGGCAAGAGGCTTTTCTTTACTTTGGAAAACGTCGATCTCGAAAGCATACAGCAAGGAAGCACATCACTTAGGTCCCCAAAGGAACGGATGTTTTTAAAAACAAAATTGAATTCGCCACAAATTTGGGTGTCACCCGTGTGCAGGAGCCACGCCAATCTTTTCTATATTCCAATTCTAGTGCACGGGCCGATGGGAGCACGTGACGTCATTTTTAATTGTGGGAAATAAAAAAAAAACACTGTACGTCCACGGGGGAGGGTCGGGTCTGGGCTCTGAAATCCAAACTGGAAAGGGGGTCCTAATTAGAGTCCCTCCCACCCGCAGTCACTGGAGGCCCAGAGGCCTTACCTGGAGGTCGAAGAACTTGCTGTAGCGCCGGTAGATGGCCTCCGTGGAGCCGCTGGACCACGTGACGCGGATGATGTAGACCTGCGGAGAGGGACAGAGGACACGGGAGTTAACACCAAGCGGGCCCCATTCCATCTCCGGGACTCGGGAGCAAAGCACAAGGGCCAGAGTCAGGGCGACCGGTGTTTGAATCCCGGCTCTGCCGCCAACTGGCTGTACGACCTGGAACACGCGACTTGTTCTCCCTGCGCCTCGGCTTCCTCCTCAGGAAAATGGGTACGACTACCTCTCCCCTTCTGAGAGCTGTGGGTTAAAGGAAATCAGTTCTGGGAAAGCGCTGGCACCCTGCTGCTCTCAGGAGGTGCTGCGGTTTTTACCCGGGAAGCACCTCTTGCTCCCCACAGGTCAGAGAGCCAGGGGCTGACTATTTGGCCAGAGTCATTCTCAAAACTTCGACTGCTGCCAGAAGTCACAGGGACCTGCAGCTCTCGGCCTCTTCACGCTTCGCACGAGCTAAGCTACTGCGCTATCTCCTCCCGCCAAGGTGCGGGTCCAGTCCTTCTCTCCCTCCGAGTGCCAGTTTCTCCACCCGTGAAACGGGCCACCGGCACCTGCTTAGCGTGACCGTGTGAGGATCCGATGCGATTCCGAAGGCGGAACCACTTTATAACCACGGGGCCACGTTCCAACCTTTGTCCCAGGTTGGAACCACACCGAAAATGTCATCGATGACGGATTCAGGCAAATTGGGGTGGCAGCAGCAGGACCCGAAGCACCTCGCTGGGGACTCGGGTGGCCTCGGGCGCCCCCTGCACACTCGAAGGCTGTGATCGGCAGCCCCCAGTACCCAGTCCTGGCTGGCACCATCAGCTGTTGTTGCGGGGTAGTTTCGACAATTACAGAATAGGGGCGGGGCGAAACAGAGCTTACGCTTGTATTATACTACTTATTAACTACTGTATTATTTTCCATAGGGACAACTGTAAACCTAATTTTGCCCCACCCTGGAGGTAGGTGAAAGCTCTTTGGAAGCAGAGAAATGCTGCTCGACACGAACAGCTCCGTGTTGTTAGAGGCCAAGGGGGCGCGCGAGCCGGGTGCCTGCCCTCCACGAGCCGAGGGTCGGCGGGACAGAAACACACACAGGGGACGAAGATACTGGACGTGCGCCAGTATGATTAATCTTCTTCCACCCAGGGCACTATCTGGCTTTCCTCTGGGAACCTCCCTTCCCTCCTCTGCACAGTTCCTTAGATACGGAGGCGGGCACTAGTCGTTAGTCTCGGTAGTTAGCCGAGGGGTGAGCACGTGACCTGCGCTGGGCCAATCAGAGCCAGTGACAGTCGGCTGGGCCAATCAGAGCCAGCGAGAGTCGGCCCTGGGACTTGGGTTCCAAGTCTCAAGAAAGAGGCTCAGAAAAGAACACCCCAAAGGCCCCCCATCCCTGGGGGATGTTGAAGCCAAGTTTGGACGGCCATCTATCTGTCAAGGACAATGCCACTGTGGATTAAAAAAAAGAAGAAGAAAAAGGAAAGATCATCAAGGATTTTATGTTGTCTTAAAACCAACCAAAAAGCCTACATCCATAAATGGGAAAAAAAATCTGCTTACACGATCTTTGACCTCTTGTTTACAGTTTTTAAAGATCTGTTCGTCCGGTGCTAGGACGCTGCAGCAGGTCTAATTGGATTGTTGGAACCAACCCCTGAACACGAGTTGCATGCTGTCTGCATTCTCACTCCCTTCTGAACGAGACGTGTCCCCGTACAGGGCTGTGGCCCTCTGCCAGGGTTTGGGCGCCGGTGAAGGAGCAGGCGGGCACACCGGGCTCCCGTGCCAGCTCTGCTGCCGGGCCAGACTCACAAGGCGCCGGCCTCTCCGGACACAGTGTCCCCCTCTCTCCAACACGGGGACAGTGACCTCCCCTGAGGACTCACTGCAGTGACGGACGCACATGCCCTGGCAGCAGTGGTCTGGTGTTCCTCCTTATCCGATACCCACCCCCCTTCTCCTTTTGGCAACAGCACCCGATTTCCTTGGAGGACTCCCTCTGCCCCGCCCCACTCTGTCGTCGCCTCTGTGAAAGGGAGTGGGCACGTGTCCCAGGGCTGGCCAACCAGCCAGAGCATGCCCGTCCCGGGGCAGCGAGACTCTGTGCTGGGACTCCGGATGCCCGACCTGGGAAGAGGCCCCTCGCCCACTTTGGGGGCTGCGGGGCTGAGCCCCATGACGTCATCACAACAGAAGCCCAAATGCCTCCTTTTCCTGTTGAAGCCACTTGGAGTTAGTTTCTGTTCCTTGGGGCCAAGGCAACCCCGGCTTTCCCATGGATCACACAGACCCATGCTTCGTGGACAGATGAGGAAGAAACCAGGCTCCAGGCGGTTGAGCCCTTGCAGTCTCGAGGCCTGGGGTCTGTGGGAAGGGAGCTGGGCATTGTCCCCTGTCCTGTCTCCCACCTCCTTGCCTGTCCTCTCTGCCCCTCGTCCCCCAGCCCCTCCCAGATCAGGGAGTCTCAGGGAGCAGCTGGGGCCGTTGCTCTCTGGGAGCAAGGACCCACAGAGCCCGCACTGGTGTCTGGGGGCCACGGAGCCCTCCCCCTGCTCCCCCACCAGAGGCTCTGATCAGACACCGGCCTCGGCCGAAATCACTTCTTACGCAACCTCCGCACACAGCGGGTGTGCTTCACCAAGTCCAGACTCCCAGGCCTGGGTCCTCCCCGGGAAGTCCTGGGTCCCTTCACTTCCTCTAAGTCCTTAGGGAGATGCAGTGGTGGCGACAGGCGGGCTGTGGGGTGGGGCTGTGCCACAGCAGGGAGCTCAAGGGAGAGCCGGGCCAATGACCGGGAGATCACCACAAACCCGCAGGCTAAACAGCCCAGACGGAGGCTCAGCAGTGCAGGGACTTGCCTGAGGCCACAAGTTCCAAGTGCAGAGGACCTGACCCAGGTTACCTCGAACCTTGCCGGCCTTGCCGCACCAGGGCATCACGCCCCCGACCCAGCAGCTGGCCGCAGCTGGCCCCGGGCCAGCGGAGAGATGCCTGCTCATTCTCCTAACTGTTCCAAGAGCATGCTGGTGGTCTGTGGCGTTCAGGGGTTAAGAAGGTCTGAATTCTACTTCCACCTCAACTCGCTGTGTGGTCTTGGGAAAGTGGCCTAACCTCTTTGCCACGCAGCTTCCTTCTCCGTAAAAACTGGGGAACGTAATAGTTCTAACCTCTGGGTTGGGGTGACAGTTAAATGAGAACACGCGTGTACAGGGCTTAGCATGGTGTCTGGCCCCTAGTGGGCGTTCTGTAAAGAGAAGCCGTTGTTGTTCTCACCAAGGTGAGCCAAATGCAGGTACTCAGAGCTGAGGGGGACCTCGCCTCTGCTCACTGCCTCTACAGGGGAGCCTCCCACAGCCACCCACCTGTCCCCATGGGGGGGTGCAGAGGGACTGCCCTTCAGGGTGCTGGGTTCACAGGCCCAGGTCATTGGAGCCTGGAACACAAGTTCTTGAGCTGCCGGAAGACTCAGCGCCCCGTCCCCTCCCACGCCCACCCCTGGGCTCCAGCCTGCAGGGAGGGGGGCTCCGTGTGTGGTCCGAATGCCAGGTCACCACACAGCCGTGAGCCTGCAAGGTGTCAGGGCCTCGCCTGCTCTGGACTTCCTGCCGGGGGCTGAGGACGGTCCCCGAGTCCCAGGTCAGTCCGCCCTCGCCAGGAGAGGCCACGGAGAAGACGGAGAACCCCACCAGCTCATGCATGGTGTTCGGTGTCCTGCGGCCTGGGCCACAGCGACCCCTGTCCTCGGGCCTCCAGAAGCCCCTTTCCTCCACTCACACTGCTTTCAGAAGACACAAAAGGGAAAAAAAAGCCCCCGGGCAGATGCCGAGAGTCCATCATGGCACTTTGGAAATGCCACCAGTCCTGCCTGTCCCATGGCCACAGCTGACTGGCCTGGGGACAGTGGCCTGATCCAGGCCGGCCAATCAGCTCTTCCCAGGCGTCTGGAATCAGACCTGAGCGTGCGGGCTCCATCCGGGAGGATGGCCGCAGCCGGGCCACCTCCGCACTTTGGGATGGGCACGTGGCCTGCAGAGAGGCAAGGAGGGCCCTCCAGTTCCTGCTTCCAGGGCCCACCCACCTGCCCGTGGCTTCTGTGACGCACGAGGAGGGCCTGGGCTTTCCTGTTAATTCCCCTTTGGGCGTGAAGAGGGTTTTTGTGTAACTACTAGAATTCTGTGATGTATAGGAGGAAGTTCAGGCACTACCGCAGGTAAAAAGGACAGACTAATGCAATGTAACCTCAATCTCAAAAAAATATATGCACTGTATCTAAATATAAGTGTTTGCATAGTTACATTGTATAAAGTCATCCTGAACACTGATTTAGCAAATACTGGACCACTGCTTCTAGGGGAAATAGGAGGTTAGGTTCCTATGAGCTTCTGGTTACATTTTTATCATAGCCTTGTGTGTTTCTGTTTAAAGAAACTTTATTTAAGGTATGTTCATTCACTAACATTGAACTCATGGCCAGCAGCACTCTAAGTCACACCTGAATGAAGCGTACCCAACCCTCGTATTTTCTCTGTGAGGCACAGCCCAGCCCTCCTGAGTTTAGGAACAGACGTGCACGTCAGTGCTACGTTCGGGGCCAGTTGAAACCCTAAAATGACCAAGGAAAAGCACATAAATGTTTTTTAAAAATTGTGGCACGAAGACACAGCATGAGAAGGACACCTGTCTGGAGCAGAAGAGCGAAAACAGGGAGGCGGAGCGTCACCTGACTCAGCCGCAGCCGGGAACGTGCACCTCGGACGCCACAACGGTTTTGCTGTTGCGCGCACGCCCGTGCCCACAGCGACCGTGCCAGTGCTAAAGCATCCAGGTTGGACGAGGAATAGATTTCAGTGGGCAGGCAAGTTCCCAAATACGGAATCTGCGAATAACGCAGACTGACCATACTGTGTGTACATATGGATGTGCATGAATATAAACCGTTGAGATGTATCTTTTTTGCTCTGGGTTAGTAGGAATAAGTAGAACTTTTTTAAAAATTCTGTTCTTGCAGATTTCTTGTATCTTCCAGATTT